GGGGGGGGGGGGGGGGGGGGGGGGGGAGAATGACGCAGCGGCTGAGGATCCGCCGAGTTCCACAGCGACACACAGTGAGTACTGGGAGACAAAAGGAAACCCCAGCTGCATGCCCACCCAGAGGTGGCTGCATCCACAGCCCCAATCCGTTCAGTGTTTTGCAAAACTGATCAATCCGGCAGTGTGAGCAATGCCAGCTGTGGGGCATGGCATCTTTCGTTCCAGCGGCGCGTTGCATGAGGTGCACGTGTCGTGGGCGCATGATCACAAAAGGGGCATGCCAGCGAGCGACTTCACGGCCGCTGAATGAGTCTGTCTGCAGTTTGCAATGTGGGGAGGGAGCCACCTCACTACAGCAGGTTGAGTGAGTGTCCCCCTGCCCACAGCAAGGCTGAACAGCTCGAAAGCTGTCGCAAGTAGAGAAATGTATTTTTTGAGTCCGCGTTGGTTCGGTACATGTACCTTTGATGAGTCGTATGAATGAGTCTGTCACAGGAATGAGCTCTATCAATATGAGCATGTCCTGCTTCATGTTCAGCGGTCACTGCCCCAAGCTGGGTCAGTGCTTCCATTGCGGTTGACTGATGAGCTATCAACAAGTCAAACAGAGTCAAACAGCTGGGAAGCTGTCGCAAATAGAGATATTATCAGAACACACTGCACACACCAAATCGAAGAGATAGTTGAGATGGGAGGCTTGCAGACACGGGCATATCAAGACAGCACAGACCAGGACATTCCGGTCTCCTCTCTGGGCCTCTTGTCTCGCAGAATGGCCTGTGCTCGGCAGCAGCCGTCCAGAGAAGGGCGCCATGCAGCAGCCTGGTCTGTAAGCTGCCGTAGCCTCTCGCCGAGGCTGACAAGCCGTGATTGCGGTCACGTTGAATTCCCTTCGCGACAACCATACGCTCCATCAGCTCCGATCGGCTGCTCCCTGCTGTCCGGCTGGCCGTTGGAGCTGTCGATGGGGGGCTGAACGAGTGGGCGGGCCTTTGGCGGGAGATCCGGTTTTCTTTCAGACGGTATGCTGCCATGCTACTGCATCACCATCAAGCTGCCGCGCCTTGTGGAGGTCTTCTGCATCTCGCTCTCCTCTCTGGGCCTCTTGTCTCGGTTGGGATCGCCTGTAACCAACAGCATCCGCCTGGATAGGGGTGCCATGCAGCAGCCCGGCCCGTGAAATGCCGTAGCGTCTCACCGATGCTGACAAGCCGTGATTCTGGTCACGTTGAATTGCTTTGCCGAGTACTAAGCTCCGCCAGATGCGACTCCTGCTCAGTTGCCCTCTGCTGCCCGACTGGCCGTTGAGGCCATCGAGAAGGGGCTGACGAACGAGTGGGCGGGCCTTTGGCGGGAGATCCGGTCTTCTTGCAGATGGGCTGCTGAGATGCGACTTGGCCTTATACCACCAGCTTTGTACTGCATCACCGCCAAGCTGCCGCGCCTTCTCAAGATCTTCCATAAAGCAGCCTCCTGTGCAACGTGCCCTTGACAGCTGACCGCCTTAGTCCTTTCGCCGATGTTGACAAGATCCGTCAGTTGTGGCTCTTGGTCGGCCGTCGAAGAAGAAGGCATTCGTGCACCGAAGAGGACGGCACACTTCTCGATATCCGTAAGCCCACGAACACGCTTGCATGCATACGGGGGACCCGGCATTCTCACATAGCGCGAGGCAACCCGGTATCCTCACACATAGCGCGGGGCAACCCGGTATCCTCAAACATAGCGCGGGGCAACCCGGTATCCTCACACATAGCGCGGGGCAACCCGGCAATTAAACTGAGACACGAGGCGACGGGGGTGTGCATGCAGCTCATTTCTTATTGCAGGAGGGGGAGGGGGGAGGGGGGAGGGAGACAGGAAGGGGGGAGGGGAAGAGAGACAGGCCACCTGGCACGACAAGAGAGACGAGGGCCACACACATCACACCACACACACACACACACACAGGGCAGAGAGGGGGAGGAAGGAGGGGAGGCAGACAGAGATGGACACTTTTACACACACAACACGAACACAAAGCGCGAGACAGACGCGTACACGCACCCCCACCACATATACTTGGCACACCACCTCCCCTGGCCCGGGGGAGTATGCAAGCATGGGCAGCCCCGCGCCATCGGGGTGAAAACGGACTGGCATTTTTTTCTTCGAAACCCAGGGGTAGCCAAGGGAAACCTTGGTGAGCCGGACTCGCCGCCCTAATCTCTGCCTCGTTTTTGCAGGGCTGCTAGACCGTTTCGATGGATGCATTTTCATGCGTTCATAGGAGACGCTTGATGAATGAATGAATGAATGAATGAATGAGATGGGCGACAGCGTAAATTCGCACTGCGCGTTACGTGTCGTCAGCACTGAGGAGAGTTTCTTGGCCCGCGTTGTCATCATAGAGGATGCTGAGCTTCGAATTCCTTATTTTCCTGTTGGTGGCGGTCGTCGGCCAGGTGACATGCCAGACGTTGGTACGTGTGGAGAACCTCACGGCCGCCTTCCTTCAAGATGTCTTGGATGCACAGGAACAGCGGCGGCACTTCTGTAAGATGGAGGCTGAAGTGAATAGCACAAGGTGGCAACAGGCGCGGGAGAGCGAGCGGGAGAGTGAAGCCAACGGGCCTCGCGAGATGCCGATGCAGCCTCTCCCATTTTCTATCACTCTGCCTGGCGTCAACGCCACAGCGATTCGACAAGAAATCATCAAGGAGTTCCTTTGGACTTGGTCACACTACAAAGAGAGGGCGCTGGGCTTTGACGAGCTCAAGCCACTCTCAGGAACGCCTAACAAGTATATGAACATGATGCTGATGATGGTGGATTCACTCGACACTCTTTATCTGATGTCCGAGCTCGACGAATTCAACGAGACAGCACTTTACATAGAGAACAACTTGGACTTCGACAAAGCAACGACTTTCTCCTTCTTGTAAGGGTTTTGAATGAGCGAGTGAGTGCGTTATTTTCTGCTCACTGTCCACCCAGCGAAACTACAATCCGCATTCTGGGTGGCTTACTATCATGTGAGGGGACTTTTGCTGTGCATGATACATAGATAACGATAACGATACAGCTCTCTGTCTCTCTCTTGTGTGTGTGCGCGTGTGTGTGTGTGTGTGTGTGCAGCTGCATCGTTGTCAGGAAGGCCGGGCCTTCTGGCCAAGGCCATCGACATCGGAGAGCGGCTGTACCGTGGCATCGACGCGGCATCGGGTTTTCCTTGTCGCCAGATCAACTTGAGCACCAGCTCATGCTCAGCCGATTGCACTGTCAACCTTGCTGAGGTCGGCTCTTTTCAGCTAGAGTTCTTTGCCCTGTCGGACCTGACGGGCGATCCCAAGTTCAAAGACGCGGCGAGGCGGGCGTACCTGCAAATACGCAGGGCGGGAGGCAAGGACAATTTGTTGCCGTAATGGCTCATTGTCGCACAGCCATGCAACCAAACATCTACTGTCTCTGTCTTGTTGACTGTAGATTCATGAACATTCTCAACGTAGAAAAACCGGAGGGGGCAGGCGGAGAAGCATCCATGGGAGGCGGCGCTGACTCGTAAGGCGACAATGCGAGTTGAGTATGTGAGAAGACACCAACGCATGGGAGTCGTGATGGGACTGCTGATGCAGGTACTACGAGTACATACTCAAGTGGTACCTTCAAACGGGTATGGAGGAGTACAGCACAGACTGGGAACTGGCGATGGACGAGATGTTCGAGCAACTTGTCAGGACGGACAATTCGGGAGCCGTCACAGTAAGATCGGCACATGTTTTCCGCATGTTTGTGCGTCTGTGTGTCTTTCTTTTTGGTCGTCACCTTCACACGCTTTCTAGGTTGTGGCTGCCCCAGGCGGCTTCAGCAATCCTTCCAACCTGGAAATGGTATGCTGATGCAATGGCGGAAGTCATTATGTGCGTGGTATTGTTCGCGGGAATGTAGGAGCACTTGGCGTGTTTCACACCAGGCATGAAATCAATGTGCTGATGCGAGATGTAGCCTTCATTCATTCATTTTGGGCGGTTGGTTGTGCGCGCACCAGGCATGGTCATATTGGGGCAAAGAGAGCTCGACATGGCCAAGGCGAAAGAGATACGATGGATGAAGCAGGCGGAGGCAATAACCCAGGCCTGTAAGTCATCGGTAACTGTATCTCATGTATCCTACCCCCTCCCTCCCATGATAGGCTTCCTTCCCTACTACCGAAGTGCTACCGGCGTCGGGCGCGAGCGGTTTGTCTTTCGCTCTACTGATCCCTCGGCGACAGTGGAGTTCGATCCGAATAGGGGCCACAGGCAATATCTGTTGCGACCAGAGGCAATAGAGAGCGTCTATTTGATGTGGTATTTCACTGGGGAGATAAAGTACAGGTATGCATCAGCATCAACGTGAAGTTCTACAGTGTGTCTCGTGACATATGGAGTGTTGCACCTGTATTCTTTCTAGGAGAATGGGGCGCCACAATGTGGAATGGAATACGGGTGCGACACAAGAGGGGAGAGATCGTTGTGGCAACAACATCGCTCTTGCGTGTGTGTTGGCTCTCAGTCGTCGTGTCGTGGAAAATTCGGATACGCCGTCCTGCAGGTGCGGACACATACTGAGCCAATTCTCCGCCTTGATGTGTCGCTCCTTTATGGGTGTTATACTGCAGGACACAAACGCCCCTGACTCGCAGAACGATGCGACGGAGGTAAGAAAGACACCACGTGTTTGGTCTTCACTCGAGATGCATACAAACTGGTGGTCTTGACGGGATGTCGCTTGCCTGCCTGCTTAGTCCTTCTTCATGGCGGAGACACTTAAATACCTCTACTTGCTCTTCTCTGACCGAAAGACGCTCGATCTTAGCAAATGGGTAAGAACAGAACGGGCTCGAACCCGGCAAATGCTGCCTTGACTGTTCACCAGGTTCTGAACACGGAGGCTCATCCACTGATCCGACGCAACCGGGTTTAGAGGGCGAACTCCGCGTGTATTCGTTACCTGCCGGGGTAATGGAAGACCTTTGAATCCGCGGCAAACTGGCCGACGTCTGTATACATGACGTCTGGCTGATCGACTGAAGGGATCCTGGGCAGGCCAGCCGGGTTCTCTGCATATGCATCGAATGACATCCGTGTGCACATGTCATATGGAAATCGTCCCGACGCGGGGCGAAGAGGAAGCCCAATACCGCAAACTCAGCTGTCATTCGACACATAAGCAGACAGAGAGACCAGCAGTAAAGCAGTAAAGCAGTCGGTCGGTAGGCCACTCACGGAGGGTCTGATCATTGTCGGTTCGCACGTACACTTGTGCATCTCCAGGGGGAATTGCTTGCCGTCCAGGGTATGTTCCGACCGTGAGTGGAAGTGAAAGCTGGACAAGGAAGGAGGACGGCAAATTTAAGGCATAAGGCAGCCAGGTAGGCAGGCGTTCTGGACTCTTTACGAGACGGCGACGACATGAACTGTTTCCCTTGGTACTGGATCCCTCAGCTCTCCGTCCACGAATATATCGTTCCTCTTCACACGCAGAGACACACAAAGTGCATTTCAATGTACACGACGAGAGGGCAGCATCTGTCTGTGCGTGTGTGTGTCTATGGCTTACATACGTATCTGCGTAAAGCCCTACTCCCCTTTCCCGAGCCGTGTCCCCTTGTGCAGTCGCAGCCCCAAAGGGGAGGGTCAGTGTGTGTGGGTGTGCAGAAGTGTGTGAGTGTGTCTGTATGTATGTATTGTATGTGACGGGACAACAGGGGTGCAGCGGATTCTGCATCAGCTCCTTCCACGCTGAACCGACGACCTTCTCCTTCGAACGCATGAGCCAGGGACGTGGTCGATTTTGGTATAGATCCCGTCGATTTGACCACATCCCCTTCCACCACGCAAGACCGATTCCGAGTAAGGGGCACCCACTGCGTGGGCACCCCGGGCCGGGAATTGGGCGGGGGTCGAAAAAAGCGTGCGAAGTGGTGGTTCCATTATGCGTCACAGAGACGTGCACAGTAGGAGTGTTGGCGAGAAGCACACTAACGCATGCAACAATGGCGAGAGTTTAAAAAACATGCAGACAACAATCATTATGGCGGGAGCTTGAAAAACATGCAGATCTTGAAGACAGACGTGGCGATAACATGCAGGTACTCAGATCAAGAACACAAGACACCCCCCATGCCGCTCCTGCTGCGCCCGTGTTGAAGACGTGCTTCACCACGTATATCAATGCATCGCTGGATGCAATTGGATACCAACCTATCGATATCCAGCGATGATGTCAATCTAGTGCGCCTGTTGAAGGGGCTATTGAAGACTGCCTTCGATGACTATCAATCGGCTTGTCAATCAAATGGGAACCACCAGGATCAGCCCAACGATGACCTGCACCAGCAACGCAACAAGGTAAATGAAATCGGCCACAGCCGCGCCACGTCAGATGAAGCAAGCCTCCGGAGTGAGTAGCTTCTCTTGGAGTCGAATCTCTTCACACACGGTGGTCACTCGATGGATGCTGCCAGCCTCACTCGATTGTTGGCGCAGCCGGCGTCTGCATTCAAGCCGCCTGAGACGGTCGACGACAGGATCTTCTCTGTCACTGGGCGAGCCGTTACAAATTGAACGAAGAGCAGATGCTGGCGTTCCAAATCATCTGCAGCCACTTGCTGAACCACTACAAAGACCTGAGGGACAATAAATACGTCGCGCCATTGCGCATGTGCCTGACCGGCGAGTTCGGCACCGGCAAGACCGTCATGAAAGTCGTGAAGGCTTGTTCTGCTGAACTGCAATGCAGACATTGGCTGTGTCTGGCGGCACTTACCGGTGTGGCTGCAGATAACACCGAAGGCTCGACCATCGATTCGCTCCTGCACGGGCTTGAGGTCACAGTGCCACACGCCGTTCTCTTCCAGATGGGCCATCGCAGACAGCAGCTGACGGAGCACCCGGCGCAGCACGGCAGGCGGGAGGCCAGCGGGGTAGGACTGACACCGGAAGCCGTGAAGCGAGTTGGTAAGGGGCTGTGTGTGATGTGATGGTGCGTTGAACACAGATCTACAACAGGCCATCCTTCAACCAGCATACATCGGTGAGAGGGGAGATGAGAATACCGAAGAACATCATCTCACCGCGCGCTTCGACCTACCTGAGTTGTGTGTGTTCTGATGGTGTGTTGAACAGATCTCGGCGCGTGAAGAAGCGTTGATTTTTGTATCCAATGTCTGCGGCCTTCACGAGATCTGCCAAGCTGGTGTTTCTGGGCGCCCCGGGTGCTGGCAAGGGGACGTATGCGACGCGGCTGTGCAAGGCGTGGTCCATCCCTCACATATCCACGGGCGACATCATTCGCGCTGAGATCAAGGCGGGATCGGACCTCGGCCGCCAGTTCCAGAGCTACTCCAACACAGGCGCTCTTGTGCCCGATGAGCTCGTTGTGGCCATTGCAAAGTACGCGCAACACATGTATCTGCTTGCATCAGTGACATACTGATGGTTGATGAACTGTTGGTCTGTCTGTCTGTCTGTATATTTGTGCATGGCGTTCAGGAAGCGATTGAGTGCGTCAGATGCGCAAAGGGGATATCTGCTGGACGGCTTTCCCCGCACTGTGCCCCAGGCCGAGCAGTTTCAGCAGTTCGCGCCCCCCACAATGTG